ACCAAAGAAGTCCATGGGTTCAGAGGAAAGTGGGGCAGGGATATGCCTGAAAACTCTACTATGTCTTGTAACAGCTAAGGTAATTAGTTTCTGAAACAGTTAATAAAGCCTGTGCTGGTTTTCTTTGGAGGACAGAGCCTCCAGAAAAGGGGGTGGTAAAGCCCAGGTGCCTCAAAAGCTGAGATCAGGACGTGCACTATGTTAGCACTGGCTCAGCATCCCTTGGGCCGTGGGGCCAAAAAGCTCCGTTTTCTTGAAGAGGAAAGGCTGGGAGCAGAGAGGTCCCAAACACGGTGCGCTACAAACTGTCGGGGGAGGCTTCCTGGGGTCTGCGCACCCACACCAATGCCACCTAGGTGTTGCCGCTTCAATTAAAATTATTCCTGCTCGCTTTTATCATGTGACTAATGCTACAGAAAGCATGAGCTTTTAGAAATATATTTTGAACAAAAGAACATATTTATCTTTAATAGAGGGTTATACAACAAATACTAATTAACCAAGAATGTAAGGTAAACATATTTAGCTTTTATAGCAGAACAACTCACAAAGAGTTGTGTTTAACTCAGCTAGTCTCTGAGTTAAAAACACTATTCAGAGCTGCAAAAAGGACAGAAATCTTGTTCTGCTTTCTAACAGAAATTCAAAGTGGTATCAAAATTTCCAGTGAAATCGAGAAGCTGGGGCTTGCTGTGGTATATGGAGATTTGGAACTTCTACTTCTTTTCCACTTGAAGTCAATGAGATGTCTCCCGCTGAGTTCAGTGGGATAAGACTGGAGAATCTGGCAATGTCTTTGGGTATTCCTGACTGCACATTAGGAGCTTGGACTTTTGGTGTGGGTTTGCTTTTTAGAGAATTGTCTCACTCCCTTGGATAAATACAATTTGCGACTCACTTTATAGATGTGCTAGAGCTTTTGCAGCCTTTACAATCTGTCATATAAATCCATATTCAAGTGTCAATGTGTGAAGGGGCTGTTTTAGAGGTCCTCTGGGTGGAAACATGAATGGAATTTCTAGAAGAAATGCTCTCAAAGATGAATAATTTGTCTACTTAGCCAGTTACTTTAGAAATAAGATGTTGATGGTAAGAGTCACTAGACTGAATTCAACAGTTTTTTTTTTCTTTCTTCCTGTAACTCACAACTACCACAGTTGGGAGTTTTGGTGGGAGAACTTGCTGAAAATAAACTACTGAAATTGAGCCTCAGATCCAGGTAAGACAACATCAGCCTCCTTGCACCTCCAAAGCTTGTTAACTTTAATGGCAGTTTTGGGTATGCATGGAAAGCAGCCTCAAGTAGCTATAGGAAGAGGGATTAATAATATTATTTCTGAGATAATTTCTGTGACCACCATCATTACGCTGTTGTTGATCACAGTTTCTTTTATATGTTTCTCATTTTTCTTGCCTTTAACCCTCTGAAAGGCCAGCTTTCTTTCTTGTATGGTGTTTCATTCAAAAAGCCAACTGGGTAGGTGTGTAAGAGTAGTGCACAAGGTGAGAGTAAGTAAGTGGTTTGGAAACCATTTTTGACAGTGGCTGTTCAACCCTCTTCTCCTTTGTCACACTGGTTGTGCGCTGCTCAAGTTTTCTCCTTTTTAGATGAGAGAATTTATGTAGCCCATAAAAATTTACCGGAAGGAAGGCGTCTACCCCCTTTAATGCCTAATCTGGCACCCTTTACTTATGCAAATCTAATCAATGGACAAATGCTCTTCTCACAGCAGCTGTGCTAATACAAACAACATCAAAGACTTTGTCAAAGTTGCTCTGAAACAACTCTGGGATCACTGAAATGCAAGATTTGGCCTCCGACTTCACATCACCACTCATTCACTCACGTGAGTAAGACTTCCAGAATTGGGTCCTTTCTCTCCCCGAATTAGAGCCAACCACATAACCTGGGAACAGCCAAGCAGAGCCTGCCGAGTAGGCTGAGCACAGTCAATCCTAACAAATTACAATAAGAAATGTATCACGCTGCCTGCTGTCAGGTGTAATTTATATCATACCAGAGGGGTGACTGGAGAGCAGGTATAGGCAGGAACTGGTCATACCTATACTTGCTCCTGCTGGGCCTGATCTGGCAAGCTGCTGGGAGCTCTTCCCTCCCATTGAAGTCAACATGAACTGAGTTTGTTCAGGACCTAACAGGATTGGGCCTCCTCAAAATACTACAGAAGGATAAACATGATTTGATTATTTATTTTTTTCTGTTTTCCATTAGCATGTGATGTCTCTGTGTATGCATACCCTGATTGTATTTATACAGATGCTCACAGTCTGTACGTGTCCTTAAACATACAGGTACAGTATATACTACAAGCTAAACACCTACTTAGGATTTGGGAGCAGAGAGAAAAATATAGAGATTGTTACACAAATAAACAGGAAGTTTATTCCCACAGCTTTCAATTTTAGTGAGCGCAAACTATTTTATGTGACTGGAGCTAAGATTTAGCAAAGCATTTCAGCATATGCTTACATCTTTTGCCGAAATACAATCTACAAATTTCTTATATTTCTTAGATTTGAAGCTTTTAAACTCATGCTCAAACCAGGAGTTTAATATGCTGTCCAAAATAATCCAGAAAGCTCTGCGTGCGGCTGAGTATGGCCATGCCTCTGTATGTGGCCATGCATGTTATCTCTGAAGCGTAAGCTAACAGTGCTCTGGCATTATTTTAGGATGTCCTGCTCAGAAAAGCTATCTCCCTTCTTCCTGTACCTGTGAGAGACCCGGGATTCCGCTCCCGGCCAGACCACTGCGAAGGCAGTGCCTGCCTTACGGAAGATACACACACCAGGGAAGCGAAGCACCATCAGGAGCTCCAACCATCCTCACTGAAATAACTGCAAGTACTTTGCCTTAACCAGGAATGAGAGCAGGCCAGACTCAACGGGGGGTAACCAACCAAGTCTACTATGCAGCACTGCAGAAAAACAAATCAAAAAAATGAATTAAAAAGCAAATTAAAAAAAAAAGGAAAAAATAATAAATTAAGGTGTACGCTTCACCCAGCTTCCTAACGTATGTAGCAATATGTCCTACTTGGGATGCTGGTGAAGGGTTATCTTTTGCTATAAAAATATATGTGATTTACAGGTCTCATCCTGTAAGTTCTTACTTCAGTGAGAACTGAAGTTTGAGCAGCTGAAAAAGCATTCAAGCCTTATGAGGTAACACAGCAATACAAACAAAAGACAGTACACAGCAAAACATCGGCAGCACATGAGCTCTGGTCAGTCACAGTTTTGTACTTTCAGTTTAAACAAAGTACAAAACGTGAAGAAATATGCTTTTGTTATTTATCAAACAGAAAAAAAAAAAGGTTTTAGATCAGTACTCTATTTTCTTTAAATGAAATCTGTGAATTTATGTATATTCTCCCAAAGCTTCCATAACCGAAGCTTTTATTAAGTAAGTCTGATACGGGGCATATTTTAAAAATAGTGTCAGCAGTGATATTTTAAAATGTGGAAACAGATGTGCTACTCTTATTACAACTGCTGAATCTTCTCTGTGTTTTTTTATACTATGAAGCATTTGTCTGCTACTGTTATAAATCTCTCCCCACTGAACAGATTTCTTCTCTATGATTAAAGCAGTACCACACAGACATCACTAAACAGACACTGTCCAGAAAAATCATATTGTTTTGGCCTGACCATAAAATATAGGTATTTTAATTGTTTCTTTCCCAGAGAGAATTTCAGCAGCTTCCCTTCCTTGGAATGAAATCACAGCCATATGCTTTATGACATCAGAGGCGTTTCAAGGTGTCTCCATAAATGTCATTTATTGCTTGGGAACCTGCCAAATCTGTGCAAAAAATCCCCAGTTCTTTCAAAGGAAAAATCTTCAAGTGAGACTAGAGCTTTACACTGGTTGTCATACCAAAAAAAAAAAAATATCTGTCCCTTACAGAAATGCCCTTACGGCCATGCAGGCAGCAAAACCTCTGGCAATGAAACCTGCTGACCTGGGCTCCGGTTTGCTTTTGAGTCAATGGTGCCTCCTTTAACCAGTCTGCTGGGCACCCTGGCACTGCACATCTACACCTTCTCTTAGTTACACGAGGCACTTACCCTTCTGAAAAATAAGCAGTCTGAATAACAAAAAGCTGAATTGGTTTAGTGATCATAACTGTAATCAAAATCAGGTATGTCTTAACATATTGCTCCAATGAATGTGCTTTAACCCTTAACACAGCCATCCCTTACCACCATAGGCCCGATGCTGCCCAGAATCCCCCATCCTTCACGGTGCCCAGTACCCCACGGGACTGGGAGCTGGGCAAATCATAAAGAGACTCTATGTCATATACACAAATATACCCTCATGCCATATCTATTCATAATTTGGCGTATCTGGAGTCTACTCTGAGATAATACTGGCCAGATCTAAATAAATCCTGCCAGATGTGTCACCAACCTGTCCAGCACAAATCAGCTACCTTTAAGCATGCAAAGATTCAATCCAATCTGCAGCTGCAAGCAGACAGAGCAGGTCGGCCGGCCACGGCCCGAAGGAAATGACCGCTGACACTGAGGCACGCAGCTACCACAGGGGTTAGGATTTTGGCTGGCCAACAGAAGCATCCATTAGTCCCAGTGTAACAGAGCCGTTCTGTTTTCTTAAGGAAGGAAAAAAGGAATTCCTTTTTCCCCTAAATCTGAAAGAAAGAAGTTGCTTGGTACAGTTGGAAATAATCTAGGGCAGCACACCAACAGGTGCCTCAAATGTATCGGCAGAGTGCAGAAGACGTTGAGAGAGAAAATGAATAGACTCTCTAAATAATACATAAATTTTACAGGCTTTTTTTTCTGTCGAACCCCAGTGAAGTTACTGTATAAATCGGAAACTGAATTATTCATAACTGGTGAATATATAATAAATCATATTTCACATTGAAATATTCCTCACAGGTACATGCCTCTTTCCATGCAAGGAACAGAAATGGGCAGTGAGCCTGACAACACCGAGGTCTCACCTGGAGTCTGGGTACTTTGTCAAGGTAGCCAGGCTGCTGGTGTACATGTGTCCTCCTACATCGATGTGCACAGGAGCGTTCGACTTGGTGAGTTGAGCTGGGAGAGGAATTCCTTGAGCAGCCAGCGGAGAAACCGGGGACCGTGTTAGAGACAGACGGGACATGCTTCTTCCCTCCTGCAAAGGGAAGGCAAAAAAGAACAGTTTCTCTTAAATGTAGCGGTGTGTTACCTTTCTTTCCAGTGTGATCACAGATCTAATCAGATCATTTTTGCATCTGCCTGATCACATATTCAGCTAACAAATTATTGCCACCACTGTAATTAAGTGTATTTGCATCATTTTCTTCAAAGTACCAGAGGGGAAGAGAAAGATGCTTATTAGCAATAAGAAATCAAGAAAAAAAAATTTCAAGGTGTCAGCCTCAAGGGGCATAAAACAAACTGCAAAATTCTAATTAAAGGTCGCGGGCTTATGTGTTAGATGTGAAATATCCCCTGACAAACGAATAACCAATTTGTGAATTGGGATTCAGGGGTTTTTGCAAGTTTGTCTCAGTAACGAGACACCTCTAAATTAGTGACTTCCTCAGTACCCAAGGCATTTAGTTTATCCTAGTAAATTTCACATCAAACTAAGATCAATTTTCTGGTTTATTTTCAATAATTGTGAAATAAATGGATAATTTTCAGTTAAGCCTTAATAGTAGACATAAAGAACTAATAAGCTTTCAAACTGAAAGCAATTAATACCTGGAAGCAGTGGAAACAGGAAGATATATAAACTGACCCATGCCTTCATGACAAGACACATTAGAAATTACTGTACAATCTGGCATGTGAAATCACAAATGCAACAATCCACCCAATGTTTACTGCCCTAAAAATATTTGAAAATTAGTGAAATTTCTGAATTGAGTCAAAAAATTTCCAGCTAACGTACAAAGCAAAAAATACTGAAGTGTCTTAAAAATGAACAGGACAACCATAGCAAAAGAAAATTCCTCAATTCTCTTCTGTAAGAAAAGCACAGCTTATTCTGCATGAAACGTGTGTCTCAAAGCTGATTTCAGTTAAATCGGTATAGACGGCAAACATGTCAAACGGAAAAAAACCCTTTTGTAAAAGTTTAAGAAAATGTCCATCCATTCTCCCCCTTATGGGTAAAGCAACATATGCAAAACATTATAGTTGAAGACATTTCTGAATATAATCTAATTTTCTTGGTATTTTGTTCTGTAAGCATGCTACCAAGCATCCAGGCTCTTCCTTACATCTGACAAGCACTTTACATGCAGCACTGCAATGTGAATTCCCATTTCTCCCACATTACTTTGACAATGTTTCTTAGAAATCTAAAGCTGGTCTTGCCTTTCTCTTAGCAGTATATTGCACAAGATGCCTGGCTACGCCACTCGATGAACATACAATTAGCAACATTCTTTGTAAAAAAAATTCTGAGCTATATAGAAAGGGATTGAAAAATCTTAATACATCTGGACAGCTTCACAAAGTCATCGCAACATCTCCATTTACTGTATTTCGTCTTGGTTAGCTCCTAAGAATTTCCTGCATCTACAGCACAGAAATACATCACCCCATTATGAATCCACATCCTTTTCTCTTCGGAGGCTGGACGGACATCTGCACTGAACACGAAGCAAATACCAACTCTGTCCTAGGACTTCTGTGTCAGCCGATGCGAAATTGGGCATTAACATTTTTACTACAGCACCACCTTCAAGGAAAGTGATTGAATCCTTTCATGACTCAAGACGTTGCTTTCTTGTTTCCCACAAGAGCCTGTTGTGGGCAATCTTCAGTAAATATGTCATACAGCATAAATAAAAGAACTAACTTTTAAAAACAACTTAGTATCTAAGTACCTACAGTATTTTAGCAACGTGTTTACTAATCTGCGGGTGCCTCATCTGTCTGCCAACACAGACAAAGATTTTTTTTTCTTACCAAAGAGCACTGTAAACTCACGTTCACTCTCTACTCCTTCACTTAAATGAAAGGGTCAGAAGATCCAGGCTGAATGTCAACCCTGTCTTTGTTCAGACCCCAACTATTATCACTAATGATAAAGGTACAGACCTCGCAGAATACAGAGCTGCCTTAGAAATAAACCTCATGCAGTTTCACAAAACAAGTGCCTAATTAGGGCTCATCTGTACCCCTTGTTACAATTTCCAAATGAAATCAAAGGACTAACAGTCCTCTGTAAACGCATCTTACACTTAACCATTTGTCTTGAAATACAGACTTCAATTTTAAAATATGCACAGATACCTAAAGATCAAGTGATCTGCATCTATTGTGCATATTTAAACACTTCTGCTATCTTAGGATTTTGTTTAATGTTAGTATACCAGTAAATTCCTTGATCTGTAAAGAGTCTGAGATTCTCAGTGAGGCCATACTCACACAGTAGATATTTAATTTATACTATTCACTGGAGGGACCTTTTGAACAATCCTCTGCTTTTGGCATCTCTCAGCTAGAGCATGTGTTGAAAAAACACTTAATTATAGAAAATCACTGGAAAGCTAAAATAGTTCTCAAACTTTTATGGCTTTTCATGCTTATTGAGGGTGCCATTGGCTTTTTGAGGGAGGGGAGGAGAAGGGGAATTGAAACCCAGGCTTTTCCCCTGGTTGAAGAGGTTTCGTATTAAAAAAAAATGAATCCTACGTTTTTATTAAAGTTGTGGAATTCAGTCATTTTCGTATGAGCAAATTATCAAGGGGCATGATTGTTCAGCACTACATAAAGGGCACTGAAAACCCTCCTATTGCTCAAAAAAAAATAAATACCCCCTATTTCTTAAGGTACCGTAACCCTATTTCTAATGACTCCTTCCTCTTCTTAATGTAAAACACAGCTCAAATTCATCACACTGAGTAATGTACTTATTTTATGCACAAAGCAAAATCCTAAATGTATTTATCCAGTGAAAGTCTTTATGCACATATTTTCTAATACTGATGTGAAAATTAAAACCTTAAGGGTAAATATCGCAGAAACACTAACAAACTTCATTTATTAAACCATGTAAAATAATCCTTGCTCTTTAGTTGCCTACAACAGGATGCAGCATCCCAACTAGTGGCACAGGCAATAACCCTGCTCTAATAAGTAACACAGGAACCTGCTGAAGGCAAAATCAATAGAGCCTGATTCCCAAATTATCTGAATATTTAGTTTTTCAAACACTGCACACCAAGATCTTTCAGAGCCAGCTTATCTTTTTCTGCCTTTCTAAGCTAACTGCATAAGTACTGCTTGTAAAAACTATTTGCCCATGCAAAGTGAAATAATCACAATGCCATGCTCATTTACACACAAAATGATTTTGTGTCCCATTGTGCTCACAGTTGTTCAGCTCTCTAGGGGTGATTAAACTAGCTATGCTGCTACAGCTTGAGATGATTTCACTGAATCGTTTCTCCATGAAGTTGCTTCTTTGCTAAGCTGTTATTTTAACCATAAAAGGTAAACAGAAGGCAGTTGTAAGAGCTCCATTCAGCTCCGTGCCCAGGGCTATAACCCTAGGGCAGAGAATGCTGAAAGACTGCAGAATTTTCCAGGGTGTTGCCTTTCTTGCTCTAAAGCCTTCAGGAATACTGTTCATTTAATACACACTCTAGATGATACATTTCAGATCCTACTAAAAGAAAGACTTCAAAAGTGTAAGAACTTTTGGGCGGATGAAGCTTTCCCACCTCTGCACATAGCTCGGGGCCATGGTAACCAATACTGCTGTTGATGTTGGGAAAATACAGTAGAAATAAACTGCACAGAGCAGAGCAGACAGATAGGGACAGGGGAGGTGAAAGGTTGCAGGAAAGAAACAGGCAGCAGTCTGGAAGGGATAACGAGAAAAAAGGGAAAAGAATGAAAAAGGAGGCGGCTCTGAAGGAGGGACAAAGTTAAATCAAGGAGCAGGCACTTAAAAGACTACAGATGGGAAGCAAGACTAATTAAGGATGTAAAAGCGCTTTGTTTCTAAACTTTATTGTTGCCAGGATAAAAATTAATTGAAACTAATGCTGTTATTCACTCGTGCAGTTTAATTCCTTCATGCACATTTAAGACGTGAAATGGAACCGGCAGGTTTAAGGACCCG